TTTCGTTAAGAGGAGTGACGAAGCAGAATAAATGACGTTACCACGTGTCCACCGCTAAAGAAACGAAGATGTACGGTAGCCATGAAATACAAAAAGAGAATGAAGCCATACTTAAGTAAATATACATCAATACAATGAATTACCGCCTTAGTTTCCTTCTTCGAGAATGAAGTCCAAAGTTTATTATGGATATTGCTGCATTTAATGCATTAATAAAGTACAATACTTTTGATGTGTACGTGATTTCTGATTACTTCTATTTATAATTGCTATAATTAATTTTAACAATACTATTACAACTACAAAACATCAAGAAAATGCTGTCATCTCAACCGAATTTCAATTTTATGAAAATCGATGAATGCAAATTGCAGATTTACATGAAGTCCTTTGAAAAAATACCTTTCATGACTTAATTATGCATCTAGTTTTGGGAAAGTTGTAAATTTATGGGTACTTTTTGGAATTGGAACTTGACATTTTGAAAGAAAAATGTATTTAATTATGAGTATAGGGCAATGATAAAAAAATCATGAATTATCGTTAAACATAGTATGTAGATACCTGATGAGGCACGTCTTACAACAATAATTAGGTTACCAATGTTACCAGGAATATTTCCAATTAATAAAATCTTATTGTTTTTTGACACGAGTCACGTTAATACTATAAGAATAATAAACATCAGTTGGAATGAGTATATAACTATTCCACACGATCCTTAATTATTATTTACATATTACTGAAGTCAATCAGTCATGTCCGTCGTGATACAACAGTTGCGTGGTCTGCTTAATTAAAGCTATTAAATACGTATTAGAAAGCGTGCATTCACCCACACACCACCATTGAGAGATATTTTTCATGATTAATAACATGGTGTATTCACCCACAGACCTTTTTATCACACCAGGGTTCATGTGATTGTAACGTAACAGCTGCGGCGAACGTTTCTAAATAAAAGACAATAGTGATGACAATGAATTATTTCTACTTTCTGAATTAGTTAGCTATATCATTTGGAATTTTGAATTCAAATTTTGATCAGTTTGAATAAGTTTTATTTTTTGTATGGATAAGTACACTGAGTTTACGTTTAACCTTGCTATTTGTATTTGTTATATCAACCTTAAATGCTCACTGAGATACTCCTGACATAGCGTTAGGGATGTTTGTAAATATACATATTATTGGGCTTGTGGCCACACCCCTCCCTTATGCTACATCATGTATAAGCAAGGATTCGGATATTGAAGTTGAAATTAATAAGCAATTTTACACATTATTCATATCAGCTTAACCTTCGTCATAAAGCATATAGAAATGAAATAACTTAGATGTGATCTTTTCTGTTCTTTAGTTTCTAAGGTAGTGTAATTCTGAAACAATTCAATTGCACGACGTTTTATTTAAATATCATGAGCAATAAACTGGTACACTGGTACTGGTCAAACACAAATGTAAAACTTTCAGCAGTCTACAACAGAGAAGATCCAGCGTTTCATAGGCATAGGGAATAACCCCTAACAGGAAATGTATAGTTTTTTTTAATCTAAAATGACTGTGATAAGCCCATGAAAAACATTGTAAAGTCAAAAGCATTCCGACATTTTCCTACTGAAAATCACCCTTTTTATCATTTAAATGTTTTGTGCATTAAAATCATAAAATCTCCTATTTATTAACTGTCGACTAAAAAATAATAAATGAAATGTAATCGTTTCAATAGTTTTAAAATATCCTGAAATCCCAGTGACAGGGTTAATTAATGAAATAATAGTAATTTAAAAAAAAACGACTTGGTCACAATATTGTACTTCTGTTTTAAAATAATGCCATCCGCTGAATACTATCCAGTGTAGAGAATTCAGTTAATAGTAATATAATCATATTATCACAATTATCAGACATATTTAACTTAAAAATGCACGAGAAAATGATGGCGATAGCTTTTCTTGCATCTCTCGACATTTGTTTTCGTCTGTTTTCGGTATCTGTTACGGAAATGAGGATATTGAGGATGACCTCTCGAATATCCGATCAATCTCAACACAAAATACTATTTCTTACAAATACAGGTGTTGGATAATATAATGATGGGATTGATCTTCTTGTATCAGTGAAACAATCTTGGTTTTCAAGAGCAATTTAAAGTATATGTGTAATTATCCCTCAGCATGAGACGAACGATGAAAGTATCCATGTCCCCTAAAAGAACAAATATGACAAATATTTTCTATGACCCCTTGAGACCACTGTGCATTTGTCGATCAATGGGAGTATCTATTTTCCTTACAAGAACATTTGCATTAATCGACTAGTGTGATAAGAAAATGTGATCGACTAGTGTTATCAACTAGTGCTCCAGAGACAGAGTAATTCCATCGCGGTACATAGGATAGGAATATATTCTTTTTACATCTTTACGGATTCTAATTTCTGTTGGTGGTCCGTATGGAATTCACGACATCTAATGCTTGAAGCATCCAATGACTGACAATTGATCCTGTCAAAATACGCGGATTGTCAAATTACAATAAAACAACAATGAATGGAAAAGGTGTTGCATTCTCCAAGAACACCCAAAAGAGTATTATCTAAAGAGATTAAATCAAGGTTAGGGCGAACTTTGTGACAGATGATAACATTGGGTGTCATTTCTTTACCTTCTATAAAATGAATAACTGTTGTCAAAATTTTCGCGATTTTCTTTTAAAACAAACGTATGATATTTTAACAAATTAATATTTAGCGGTCTGGAGGTGAAAGAACATATCATACACTCGTGTCTCATTAAATTCAGGATCAAATTTTCGTGATCAAGTTAATGTACCGCGAAGTAGCGAAAATATCATCCCCGCGAAAATGCCTAAAAATAATGTACCTTTACAAATGTGACGATAACAGATGAAATGTTACCTGAAATAATAGACAATGAATCAAATGTCTTGATTCATCTATTTTTTGGTAAATCTGCTGTGGAATTTCTAATGTGAGGTTGATCCTTTTTCTGCAATTGGTTTTAGTTTACTGATTTCATATCGCTCCATCAAGCGACAAATATACATTGGTCGATGTGGCACAGCAAGGGGTAAACCTCAAAATCAATCATCAAGAGGTTAGTCTACTGTTTACCTAAATTGGGAGAAGATTCTAATACTTACCAAAATCAGTCATTCAGAAGTTGTTCTAACGTTTGTCTAAATTAGCAGGAGATTTTAATACTAAACAGTCAATCATTTTGAAATACTTCTAACGTTTACCAAAATTAGGAGGATTTTTTAGTACTAAACAGTCAATCATTTATAAACAGTTCTAATGTTTACTTAAATAAGTAGGAGATTTTAGTACTAAACAGTCAATCATTTAGAAATAGTTCTATCGCTCTCAAATGTAATTACTTGCGAAAGCAAATTAACTCATTCTTCATAAACAGACTGACAAAAAGTCTGAAAACAGGAGGTAATGCAATCAATGATATTCTCGAATTCAAAACGACACGTTGTGAATAGCCAGGTCAATAGAAAAATTAGCAAATATATCTTTAGGTGAAATATTGGAAAATTTGTTCAAATTTGTATTTTTCGATGTAATTAGGTCAGGTCTTCGGCAAATATCACTTACCCTCTTGAACACAGGCGACGGATCTTGGTTGAGTTATTCGTTAAACATTTTTTAAGTGTGGTATCATGAGTATAAGTTCCAAAATATTTGCTTTTACTATGCATCATCTATATGTAATACAATGATATACATTTCAATGGTACGATATATTTTTAACACATGGACACTATCATGACGTCATTGATTTGAATTACTGTTCCGCGAACGTTAGGGGAGCGAAAGAACTGAAGCATGACTACTTTTAAAGATGTAAATAAGGTTATGAACGTTTAACACATGGTGTTATACACGGCGTTTAATGTGTTATATATATAACGTAGGACCATAATATCATTTGTTAAATTGTTCACTAAATCATTGCATGATATAGATAAACAAAATGCTAATTTTAGTAGTTTTAATATAACGAAAACATCGACGGCCCAAATGAATAATTGACTTACCAAGGCGTATAACGTTTTTCACATCAATTCACATGTTTGAGCATGGAATACAAAAGTAATTTAAATATTCGAAAAAATATATGATTACTCATTCGACCGGGAAATTAGTGGTGTCTTAAAAACCATAACAAATTATAGTTAAATGCTTTGGGTTAATTTCGATATTGATGTCATATCCATTTCTCATCTAATTATAGTTATTTTCCCGCATCATATGATACTGTCTGTGATTGGTGGATACCTACATGCGTACGTAATGCTATCATAGGTAATCCTTCTTCAGCTGAACTGTGTTTGATATATACACATACATGTCATTTATGTGAGGGATCGCACGTATTAGGGTAACGACTATTGTCACTGTTGTTGTAATTAATGAATGACAGATAGGCTCTGTGCGACTTCCTTCTACAGGTATATCATATAAAGAGCAAACTTTTGATATACACATCAGTTGTTTCATGATGTCTGTATAGTTAAGGTGGCTAACTTAGTAGGCCACTTCATTACGTGTTTTATCTTGAGTGATAAAAGGAATAATTTTATTTAACAATAATCTACTAAAACATTTACATTTAATTTGTAAAGGTAAGAATTTGGAAATCATACCATAAAGCAATATATATTTACACATTTGATACAGTATGCACATACAGTCCATTCTAATGTGTGGATAGTATTGCAGTCATTGGAACAATATTTAGTTAGTTGACTTTGGTGAGTTGAAATATCGAATACAGAAATAAGAAAAATTTTTTTTTAGTTTTAAAAAACTTTATTTTTATATACAACGGATGCCAATGTTTAATGCTAATGATACACTTTTATTTCAAAAAACAAAAAAAAAAAAACAAAAAAATAGTTATAACACCCAAGGTTTTATCTGAATTCATTTTTATATATGTACATATTTGAGTTTTCTTGTTTTTATAGATGCAATATTTGAGATGGATTCTACTGATGGCACTCATGACCATCGTTCCGTGTGTAATTGGACAACACTTCCGAAACCTTCATTTGGAGCCATGGTTTGCACAATGTCTGCGCAAGTTTTATAAAAGATTTAACAATGTAGAGAACTCTGTCGGACTAACTATAAAACAGTACTGCACAATGTCAGCAGAATGGAATAATATGCGAACTACTAAAATAAGCAAAAGATTTTTAGATCGAAATCCTCTAGCTCGAAGCTACTTAAATAAGCTGGAGAGAAGAATTGTGGAAAAGACACGCAAGGACAGAGTGAAGAGGCAGGTACTCGATCAAAGAGTACGAAAGGAATACCGCATGATGACAGATGAAGAAAGGAACCGTTTCCATAGGGCTGTTTATAAAATGAAAACGACAATGGTAAGTTATATATTATTTTTCCTTTATACTTTTATGTATTTGAGATGCTTTGTTGATACAATAGTACTATGCTCATATGTTTACATAGATATTTAAGAAATACGTTATCGTTTAGATGACTATACAAATACATACTCTTTCAGGAAGGGGAAGTAACGAGATATGAAGCGTTCGCAGCTTATCACTCTGGAGATACCCAATTTACAGCTCACGGGGGATGCAACTTCCCTGGCTGGCACAGGATTTACCTCCTCATGTATGTATAGGACATAATACCGTAATTGTTACCACCACTTTGTTTGACATGCTTCTACCACGATAAAAGAGCTATTTTGACAACAAATTGATTTGTTTAGCTTTCACATGTGTTAACATCATCACATAGTTTCGTTATAATATGACCTATAGTGAAATGCTGGAGATTAATATGCAACACTGACAATTGCAAAAATAAGTGGAAATACTTAAATAAAATATAATTATTACAAACGATAAACGGGTTTATGATAATAAAAATCAAAATCAAATGCTTAAAACACCAAGAGTAATTATTGCACGTTTTAAGTTCCACGAGTGCATGAAAATCCCTTCCTGTCAAAGTTCAAACGTGTCAGCTAATACAAACGCTTTTAAATTTATTCCACATGTGGCATACATATCTATGTCTATACGACAGTTGTTATGATTTACTGATGTCTTAAAAGTTAAATAACGTCCACCTACTGTGGTAGAATATACTGTAGACTCAACTGTGAATAGAAAATTATGTGTTTTGAAGATCAACTTACATTAAACAATACAATTAAATACACGAGACCTAAATAATGAGATAAACTGCTACATACAGCTGAAACATATTTGCCCGCGTTGTAAAAAGTTTTTATTGAATAAAACATATATGAATCTACCTCAATGTACCACATTAAAGGGACATTGATTAAATGGAAATTTCGTACATAGATTAAGTTTTATCGCTTTATCAAGTATTAACTAGATTCTAATGTTTATTCCTATCCAAACTGCATTACAAAATTTGAAAAAAAAATTGATGTATAACGATTGTTTGCAGGTTTGAGGAGGCTCTAAACATCGAAGAACCAGAATTGGGAGGTATTCCTTACTGGGATTCTACGATGGACTCTAACCTTGGTGCACTGGCACGTGATTCCATTATGTGGACGGCAGAATTTGCCGGAAACGGAAATGGAACAGTAACGGAGGGAGTATTTGGTGGACCTACGTCAGAAAACGATCTTATGCGTAATGTAGGAATGTCCGGGCAATTGTTCACTGAAGAGGATATCATAAATATAACATCACGTGTGCGATTTGGAGAAATTTGTGGAAATGCCGAACCAGAATTTGATATAGAATTTAAACATGGCCCTATACATATTTATGTAGACGGACAAATGGGGGTTATACGTACTGCTGCATTAGATCCTGTGTTTTTTCTACATCACGCATTCGTAGACTTTATATGGGAAATGTTTAGGGAAAACTCCGAGAGAAACGGTGTAGATATCGAAAACGACTACCCTGAGGAGTTTGGAGATATATTTCATGCTCCTGATGTACGACTGGATTTAGATCCATCTATTTTTGTCGCGGACTGCTTACAAAAACGTTTTAGTGCTGGTTACCGTTATGCACCACGGCCAACATGTGATACATTAAGATGGCATTGTGGTAGCAAATGGCTTAGATGCATTGATCACCCAAGATACGGTCCCAAATGTGTTCCAATTCTGAGAGGAGAGGAGCCGACAGAACCAACGACAACTACAACAACTACGTCTACTACAACCACCACAACTACAACCACCACTACTCCAGCTCCAACCACCACAACAACCACACCTACAACCACAACAACGAAACGTCCAGATTGTCCAACCCTCCCGCCACCACCACCTCCTCATCCACCTCGAAAACATGGTTACGGCGTCGACGATGGACTGGTTATAATACCAACACAGAATACTTTTGGTGTCAATGGAGACTATGATACCAGACATTGGATGTATCTACCAGTTAGGATAACTGTTAGGCGACCGAACGACTATAAGGCATATCACTCGTATCCAGTTAAAAACGGTAAAGTACAACACCAGAGTGATGTATACTCCCCACAGTCAGACCAAAAGAAGGTGTATAACTACGTAAAACCAGGACAGCCAAAACGTTACGAAAACTGTCAAACATCCAAAAGCGGAGCTGGAGTAGTCTATGTTCAAACTGATGGCATCAACTACGAGGGCAAATACACCGAGTATGCAGTTGTTGACAATCGACTGGCTATTTCAGTAGCATTAGCCTATGTAGCAGTGAAAGATCCCGGGAGAGGCATCAGTGAAGTTCTATTTACGGCCTATGATAATTGTGGCAGAGTTTGCCATCCTTCCTGTTTGAATCTGATTACGAGGAAATATGAACGGTGCACCGGTGCCATGCGAATCACCAACCCAAAAGAGTACATGTACACCAACAGCAGCAGTTACGGAGAATCGGTGGAGAAGGTTTGGGAATTTGGCAATGATTGCCCTCAGTTTAAAACTGATAATATCCACGTCTCCTTCTTCTGTGACTATAGTCAGAGATGGCCTTGGCCGGATGCGCTGAAACAGAAAGACATACAAATGCAAGTTCCTGCTAGTATGAAAAGGTCTCCAAAAAATACCGCCCTTCAATCATCAAAGCCAGCGCAATTTAGTGCTCCTTCATTAAAAAGTAAATAGGATTTTTATTCTGTTTTTATGCAAGATGTTGTATTCTTTCTTTTCTTGGTATCATTATGTTGCAAAGTAATTAAGCACAACTGCAAGTAAATCATGTGACATCAGCTCGGAAGGTGATATCTAAAATATCTCTGCTAACTGTATTTAGTTTATTCAGTATAACGACAAATTAGATGAAATATTTAAATCGAAATCAATTTCGATGTTTAAGTAGAAGTAAAAGTTTCATCTTTCATATATCATGATTTCATAAACATCGTGTATATGATCAATATCATATAAGGGAAATATATCATTATTCTTTCTATTTTTCAGTTTGTAAACCGAAGGTTAGCTCTTTCCAGTCTTGCCCAATAAGGAGAGAACAGTGTAATGCACGTTGTATAAATGGAGAAAGATTCGCATGTACCAATAAATGCCACGTGTTCTCAGAGTGCCAGGGGAATAGTATTTATGTCGTCCGCTGTCCAAGATATCAAAACTTCAATCCTGAAACCAAAGCGTGTGACAGTCATTACAAGTGTCCCGTGCTCCCACCAAAGCGGCCCCAAGGGACCTCCAGAAACCGTTTCCTCGGTAATTATTTCCGTAGGCTATAAAATATTTTACATACTGCACACGTCCACTTTTTAGTGGATGTAATATTTAAGTTTAGTGCTGATGACTTCTGTACACTCAAGTTATGTATACAATTTTTATATCTTGTTTCAGTTTCACTGACGTGAAGCACTTATATTTTGCGAAAAATTATTTTCCTGGACATGCATGCTGAATGTTTCGGAGTATTTACATATAGGAATTTGGAACAGTAGCTAATACATTGGTCGTCTGATAGTTAACTGCTTTTATTAATATTCATTGGCTGAAAGTGAATTAACAATACTGCAATTTCTTCTTATTACCTAACGATTGTACCATTACGTTTCACTAACATCAAATAGTACTAAAATGCCTTTATGTTCTTACATATAATATTTGTATTCGCTTGTCAGGAATTGCATCACTGACGTATTCTAGGTCACTATGGTTTCGGAACGAATTAGATATCATATCACTGTTTGTATTGAAAGGTGTCATAAACATGTGCGTCTTTAATCAGAATATACGCAGGCACTTAACATTGTTCTATAAATTACTAGTTGTATCTTAAAATTACAAAATTTATTGATTATGGGGCTAGTACACCTCCAAATTCAGATTTTTCTTTCGATCAGTTTGAATTTTCCTCAGTCGCCTCCTAGACTTCACAATTTAGGTCTTTAGCATAATTGACGAGTTCTAGAAGGACGAAACAGCTGTATGATAAAGTTTGATTCTGCATTTGTATTTAAAGATGCTACTCATTAATGTGTCTTTTGTACAGACATATTCTTTTTACGTGTTTATATTATCTCCCTTGCTCATTCTACATATTATTGGACGATATCATCAAAATAGTGAGAAATCGTTGATTTTTGTTATAGTTTATTTTTCATTGTTTTCATCCAAGAATTCATTTGTCCCATGATGTGTGATCCATAAGACTTTGAAATAACTACATTTGAAATATCTCATTCGGAATTTCGAAATAATACATGTTACTGAATGATATAAACAAAAACTTCACTGAGTAACATAGTCTTAAGAATTTGATTAAATGACACATACAGGAACACCTTTTAATACAATTTTAGAATTCGATACCATCAAGTCAAATGATGCTTAAAGATGCGTTACACAGTTTTTTTCTCCCAACCGTCAGAAATATTCAACGTGTTGAAAATTTTAGGAAATCCAATCGAATGGAATGGCGCACTAGTTCATAATACAATCTATGACTGAGAGGAGTAATTCATACGCTAATGTGTCTCTCTATATGCTGTAGCATTCACTATCATTGTAATTTAATGTTCAATGTATCAGACGCTAGTAACAAAAACTTAATAAAAATAAATCTGTATGATAGCCATGATTTTACTAATCCAAAGTTATGCTTCGTGTCATAAATGTCATTACTATGTACAACATGTTGTATAAGTTATCTAAAGGTACTGGTCGGCTTGGTGATATTTGTAGTAGTATTTATTCAATGCTGTGATTGTTACATTGCCATTCTAATACATAGAAGTGTGATCTATCATTACATCATATATACTAACATATTGCCGGTATAATGTTACACTGTATAAAAGTCTCGTTAATTGGGACAACAGATTTTCTTGGGAAATCTGTAATATTATAGACAGAGGAACAGATTTATTGATTAAGTAATCAATAATGATGTTTCATCAATTAATGCACTTGTACTCAAATTGATTAGGGTCAATTTCTGTATTCTGGTATATTGATGGTTACTTAATTCTTTTAATACAATTTTTCTTGCATTAGTTAAGGGAAAATTGAATTGTTAACAGAATAACAATGAATCTTACGAATTGGAGGAAATTTTACACAAGAAATCTCGATCTCTCAACTAAATTAAACAGAAGTTTGCCTTCGATAACAAAGCTTATCAGCAGATAAATAAAACTATTCGTACACTGAACTTTAATGCTAGAATCCTAACATTTAACTCTCGTACCCTAAAACTTAACATAAGAAACCTAAACTTAATTAATACGACCCTAAACGTTTACACTAGAATCCTGAAATTTAACACTAGAGCATTAAGATTTATTCCTAAAATCCTACGTTTTAACACTGGAACCCCGAATTTGAACACTAAAATGTAACAGTAGAATTCAAAGCTTTAATACTTAAACTATGATGTGGTGTATTCTAACCAATAAACCAGAATCGTCATTGTTTCCGGAATATACGTTTTTTGTTCCTAGTAATAGTACTCCAATATTAGAGAGCGTCTGCATCCATGCTAAATCCACTTCAGCTTTAAGTGATAATTGATACGTATCCTTGTTAAGTTCCATCAGTATTAATTGAATTAAACTGTAGAAATTAACAGTATTTACTTTGTGTTGAATATATTTGTATCCTTTGTCAAGTGCAATATGAGGAGACTCAAAAATCCTGTGCAATATGGTAACAACGTGTTTGTTTACCTATTTTGTGATAATTTAATATATCAATTAATATTTAATTACAGAGATTTGCATCAGTATTTATACGTACATATGCATAAATTACCCAATTTATTTGGATTTTATTGTAAACCAAAACTTTTTATTTGTGTAATGTGTGCATGAAATGTCTATGTGTAAATATCGCCAATAAATGCAAATAAAACTTTAAAATGTAATAAATTTCTTCTTTTACTTTTCTTTCATAATTCTATTTCAAAGAATTTAATATGACGATATGTTACTTATTTCATACAAAACATATTTTTTTAAAATATATTTATCTTTCTTATTTCGTAGACAGAACTGTTTATGGACTTAAATAATACACTGTGGTCTAGCACGATCAATATCAACTTATTTACATAGATATCATAATCCTTTATCTTTGTAAATTTACATAAAATAAAGGTGGGTTACATGACAAATTGTGGTATAATGTGACAGTGATGAAGAGGATTAAAATATGTGAATATATTTTGAAAGAATAGTTTATAAACTGAACAATTGTTCTAAAAAAATATGCAAATAAATGTATAATGACGTTTTTGCACATTACGTCAAAAGCCTCATCTATCAAGCCGACGTATTGTTTTGTCATGTTGCCCCTTCAGGGCATTTGTCTAGAAATAGGTGGATAATAATATTCATGTACGCAATATCAGCTATAATACCACGTACGTCATACTCTCACCACAAGCTATAAGACATTTTATGTGCAGGAAACAATCAGTTGTCCAGTGCTGGTTAGCTTAAATCGTAAGATCTTTTTCACAATCTAGATAAACAGAATGATTGGTCCAAATGTGTTATTTTTGTACTACTGTACTTTTTTTTTTACTTATTCCAACATTTCTAGCCCACAAATTAAAAGCAAAAACGTTTAAATAATATATTTGATCTTCATGTAACAGTGTTAATCTAACCGGACAGTGTGGTTGTGATTGGTTGTTCGTTTACTCTTTTCCACACCAGGAAATTGGTGTTGGGTTTTCAGCCTATTTCACCACAACGCTTATATCAATGACGAATGGAAATAACACATTTCTTTCCTTAATGTCTATCTTTATATCATCAAGATCTCTAAAAAAACTTCACCTCATTTAATGTTATTTAAGGAGCGCCAGCATTGGATTAATATTTCATCTGAATTATTATTATTATAATGTATATGTTCTTTCAATGCTCCAATTACATGCTTTGTTTCGGCAAGTCTTACACATCTTTCAATTTTATAAAAAAAAATTATAAAAACAAAGAGAGATATTTTTTATTCACCGAGTCTGTTGGCGTGAATTTATATTATAAGTTACAATTACATTTTGGTGACAGTATGATACATATGTTGCTATGAGAACCTTCAGTCAACCACAATCCTGCTATGATATCTGATAGAAGAATTTACACTTTAAGTCACAATCTATGTAATGACTTTTTCACTGATAACACAGTAGTTACTATTCCAGTAAACATATCTAGTTCGTGGTATCGGCCATGTCTATATATTGATAAGATACAATACATGTTAATTGATGATATTTCTTATGCAGTGAATTTGTCCATCCAATCCCTAGATGTCACTAGTGTAATAAACCCTAGAGCGCTTTTCATTGGCTGTGTCAGTCAAAAATCGATTGTGATGTCGTTATATGGACAATGCTGTTACGTCATAACTTGAAAATGTACAACAAAATGGCTGTCACCGTTTGTTAAATGTACCTTTAATGTAATACGTTTATTTTCATTTCATATAAGATTTTATGAAACTCGACTCAAAGTTTTAATTTTTGATCGTCAGGTCTTGCAGATGCTTCGAAGACTTGGTTTATAAAATCGCATGAAATGAAACGACTACATGTATATGCACATCTTAACAGATAACAACTTTACGGCCAGCACATAACACTGAGTGAATCTTATAACCTAATAGCTTATAATTTATCATGTAACACAGAGTGAATCATATAACTTAACAGCTTATAATTATCATGTAACACAGAGTGAATCATATGACTTAACAGCTTATAATTATCATGTAACACAGAGTGAATCATATAACTTAACAGCTTATAATTTATCATGTAACACAGAGTGAATCATATGACTTAACAGCTTATAATTATCATGTAACACAGAGTGAATCATATGACTTAACAGCTTATAATTATCATGTAACACAGAGTGAATCATATAACTTAACAGCTTATAATTTATCATGTAACACAGAGTGAATCATATGACTTAACAGCTTATAATTTATCATGTAACACAGAGTGAATCATATGACTTAACAGCTTATAATTATCATGTAACACAGAGTGAATCATATAACTTAACAGCTTATAATTATCATGTAACACAGAGTGAATCATATGACTTAACAGCTTATAATTATCATGTAACACAGAGTGAATCATATAACTTAACAGCTTATAATTTATCATGTAACACAGAGTGAATCATATGACTTAACAGCTTATAATTTATCATGTAACACAGAGTGAATCATATAACTTAACAGCTTATAATTATCATGTAACACAGAGTGAATCATATAAACTTATATTTTATCATGTAACACAGAGTGAATCATATAACTTAACAGCTTATAATTTATCATGTAACACAGAGTGAATCATATAACCTTGGAGTTTATAATTTATCATGTCACACAGAGTGAATCATATACCTTATATTTTATCATTTATCATGTAACACAGAGTGAACCATATAACTTAATAGTTTACAGTGTGCTAAAACAATATTTTATTTATTGAGAAAATCATTAACAATTATTCAATAAATATCAAACATTACTGCAAGGTTTTTTAATTCTTTAAGTTAGTAACGTGCATGTAAATCGTATATTTAAAAGTTTTTATATCACAATCAGTTAGAAAATGATATGTGGCGTTTCCTTGACTACATTGTCACCGTCATTAGATAGATTAATCAGCACATGTTTTTTAATGAAGCCTTCACACTGAATCTTCTTTGAATAGGTCGAATCTAATAAAATTAGATGATTTACAATAAAAAATATCATGTGAAGTTTATGACATTTCCAGCTGTTTGTTATTACAAAACATCGGTCCTCATTGTTAAAAACAAAATATCAATTGTCAATGACTTTCACCTTCATTCTGGCCGAGAAATTAATCATTATGTCGAGTGACGCCATACAAACACCTGACGTGATTTTTTTTTCTGTTTATAAAATACTCACCTTTCACGTGATATATAGTATAAGGTCTAATGAAGACCACTGTTGTAATGCATTAAAGTATCCCGGAAAACAAGACTGTTGAGTTTTCCCGTGCTAAGTAGTTCGTTCTATTAAGTCATCAATAAATTCGAATATCATATCTATTTTGATTTCTTTAAATAAGTAACACCTTTCTAGACATTTTATAGAATTTGCACCGTCACCTCTTTTTATAAAATATATTTTATATATCAAGTATTGTCTCCTTCGTTTAGAACTGGCACGACTCAGACGTCTTCGCTACCGTCAGCAAATGGCTAGAAACTCCGGACATTTAGACCCTGAGCCACACACAGCCCAAACTCATAGTGATCCACACCCTGGAAACGGTCACGGTACTCCTATGTCTAGCGCGCACACACGTAACAGCCATGTTACGAGAGACTGGCGATCCAGAAGACAGTGGCGAAGAAGTGGTTAACATATTTACAACCAATGAAATCCAACATGTCTTCAACAGTTTTGTATGTTAGACAAAGTCTCAAAAATTCTTATAGGCATGATGCGAATTTACTTATATGTGTGCATTTCTTCTTGGAAAAAACTCTTTTTAGTACAATTCCAAGTTTGTTTTAGTAAATTGATCATGAAGATACAATAATTATAGGAAGAAATGAGTAACATTTGATATTTGAAAATAATTTAATTCAATTTTATTCCTTTGTTTTTGCATGTGCAAAACTAAATGTAATTTTAATGGCCATTTTTTTTTTATTCTCTTCTTTGAAAACAAATTAAATCAGTTTTCTTTTATTTATGATAGTCTTCTTATTGTAATCAGTTTTTGTTGATAACAAAATCTGGGATATAATAGCACTCATTTTATTTTGTTTATCTTATTTTGATACATCGACCATAAATCTTTGACATGATATACTCTAATGTGATATACAAAAACAACATTGAGTCCTGCTATCTGTCTCTTAACTTTCCAAACATCACAGAAAATATTCTGAAATATCAAAACGTCATTTTGTCTCATCGTAAATGTACCAAAAATAGCTGAGAGTTAACATCTGTTTCATTTCTTATTTCTGTATCTATTTTGATTTTATGGCAAAATGTTTTGGTATTATTATCATCAAAAATATCTTTTCTTTCCTTTTTGTATGGGAAGGGGATAGGATAGTGGGTGGGAATGGGGGCTGTTACACCACTGATTCATATTATCAGTTTAGCATTAATTCTAGGATATTGTCAAATTCGTTGGGATGTTAAAGAGGAAACTGAACTGGTAGTAGACATTTCTATGTTGGATCTATAGGTTAGGCTAGCATCCCAATGCCAGGTTCACCTAGCCTAGACATTAAAAGTAATTCTGAGAGTACATTGTTTCGTGGCGATATATCTGGCAATAGAGTCAGTTAAAAACACCAGAATCAGTATAGTAGTAATATGAAATATAGCCAGGTTTATAATAAAAAAGGTATTCACTTGTCAAGAACTAATTATGAAAAATGATTGCTGAGTTTTTAAACATGTATTGAAAGGGAATCGATCCCACAACCTATAGCTCAAAAGGACGCTGTGAGATATACAGGACTACAACTTGAAGACAGTGAATACACATTTCTAATGGTCCCATACAACAGATGTGCAATAGCTTATGTTAATTCCTATATTGTAAGACAGTTTTGTATATATGTGTAAATATGAAATGACATATGGATATTTCTTTTTTTTTTGATGAAATCGTGTTATCTACAAATACGTTGATTTTTGTCCGGTGACAATTTGTGTAAGCAAATGTAAGAATGACGTATTACAGTTAAAATCATTTTGTTTCGCTCCTTATTTGAATATTTGTCTCATTATGTTTTTTTTTTTCCAATACACGATGCTTTGTTATCATGTTTGATTTATTGTTCAACTTTCCATGTAGATTTAATTATATAAAACTGGAAAGCAATACTAATTGTCTTGATGTTTTTTCACTTTGCATTCTTTGGTTAAAATTCAAACTACCCGTGTACATGCTCAGTTAAAATCTCTATATCTTCCCTTTCCCTCCTCTATTCTTGTCCTATTTCAAAACATATTATCTGAAGCCATTCAAAATTGGGAAAAAACTTGTTATTCTTAATCATTCTAGCCAAAATGAACACTTCTCAAATAAGTCAGGATCTTACATTTTCATTTAATATGTGAATTTGTCTAACCTTTGAGATATATCAAATTGCACCTGATTAGAAATACATTTTTTAAAATCGAATGTTCTCTATCATCAGCAAAATAATGTTTTAATGGCATAATACAATCTGCAGTGTCATCGTTCCACCTGTATACCATCGTCTACTTGCCTTGCCCTAAATTAGACCATAGACGCGTATGCTAATTTGATTACCTAAACTCATCAGGAAGAAATAAGCCGGTTAGCCAATGAGGAGCTATATTATCTTTTCAACTGAAAGTTAATCATATAAAAAAACATCAAGTACTTTCAAAACACAAAACAACATGAAAGCATCAACATGTGAACACAATCATAATCGAAACTCAAATCCAATAAAATAATAAGGCTTTTCAGAGATCCTGTGGTCGTCACACGAGACTTCTACGAGATCACAATATCAGGTGTTCTAGAAGGGCAAGTGTCTTCTTCATCGACGACACCCATCAAAAATATCTGGGTCAATCCAATTACGGGATGTCGTGTTCTCAAACTAAAACAAGAGTAACAACAACAAAACACGGAAACCTGGAGAAATGTCTTCAATTCGAAGCGTAGGACAGGAAAATATGACTCTGCATACCGTCCATTGATTTTGGTATGATGCTATAGATAAGATATTAACAGTTGATAGCGATGTTTATATGATTAGGAGACTGTTACCCCGTTATGTTGTACTATCCTTATGTTATACAAAAGACCAGCAACAACCGTTCTCAAGTACAAATGTTGAGTATTAACACAAGTTACAACAATGATAACATGTATGGCCTGAGTATCGAGCTTAACAAGTTACTCCTTCCACGGCCACACCAGGACTGACTCTATTTGCTGTGATCTTACAGTTTATCCTAAAGCAATTATAATCTAATTCTGATAGGGAAAGTGTCTTCTACTGATCTACAATTAAACCGTGACCAGTTAATGTCTCCATGGTGGAGAGCATGCCCAGCCAATGTTTCACGGCATGATTCTGACACTAAGGTGACCGCAATTAAACTATCTGTCTGATAAGCCAGCCGGTCACATTAAGATTTAACACAAATTATGTTCTACACTTGAGTGACAAATTTCACTATTAACATCCCCCTGCCTAAGAAAACTTTTACGGTCTAAAAGTTCAGAGATAGCTAACTGCTCATGATACTCAGGCTGAGATAATATTTAGTATGTACACAAACACTGGTAAGTTTACTTGAACAACAGTTAATTCTAAATTCTACAATATACTGTTAACTTCCTTGGATAAAGTACTTCTGTTAGACTGTCACTGTTTGTTCTTAAGGTATACACATCACAAAAACCTGAAAACACATGTCCGTGTTCACAACTGATGATACATTCAGAGTCAGTGTTCCCCCTTTTTTTTTCTTCTTCTTCTCTGTTCGAGACAGTGGCCCAACAATATCCATAGATATTTTGTAAAATGGCTCACTGATGATCGGTGGTTGTCCTAATGGAGCTTTCTCATCACCACGTCTTCTGGCGGTCTTTTGACATACGTTACAAGTACTACAATACTCTCGTATGTCCTTAAAAATCCCTGGCCAACAGAACGCATTAACGACACGCTCTTTGGTCTTTTCTATCCCTAAATGTCCCGCAAGTGGTCTATCATGTCCCAATTTAATGATATTGAGACGTAGTGCCTCTGGTAGTACTACCTGGACTCCATGTTGGGCTCCATCACTAGACTCCCATTTCCTACGGAGAATCCCATTTTCCCGGTACAGGGCATTCCTCTCTTCCTGCACAGATTCCTCTGAACTTGCAGCTTTTCTCCGAATGTTGGCTAAAGTTGGATCTTCCTGCTGAAGCTTACTAAGCACTTCAGCATTTACAGCAGAAAGTTCAAGCGGTTCCTCTGTTGTGATGTTAACTGTATCATCCCCATTGCTGTGGGATACAGTCTCACTGATGTTGTCAATGTCCTCACCAACGCCATCGCCATGGTCCAGGTCCACATCGTTCGCCTGTCCAACATCACTTCCCTTACTGGCATCCACTTGGTCCGTGTCGGGGTCCATTCCAACTTTTACATGGCATTCCTTTGCCTTGTCCTCAGCTAGCCTTTCTTCAGCAATGTTATTACGATGTTGTGCACGCGTAACAACATTCACAGCCTTTGATTGTCTCTCTATGATGTCTACCCCCAACAGGGCTTCAGCGACAAGGTCAGGCACTAATCCGACCTGAGCATGTCCCTTATAATATGGCGTGTCCATATCAACGATAGCCAGTTTGGCTGAAAACGGCTGTCCAGTCGCTGTACACAGCGTCTCCCGCTGACCCTCCAATACACAACTTGGGTCCACCAGGTCTTCCCTAATCAAGGTCATCGCTGACCCAGTGTCTTTCACGAAACTAATATCACGGCCATTGACCTCTCCTGGGACATGGATAAGTCCTCCCGTGTATTGTCGCACTAAAAAACCTGCAAGATTTTTACCTTCTCTGTTTTTTGGACATTTCCTCGCGAAGTGCCCGTACTTGTTACAATTGTAACACTGCACACTTTTCATTTGCTCTGTCGATTGCTCCTTTCTCTGGTCCCGATCAGAGGTAAAAGTTTTTCCATTTATACTTTTACCTTGCGTTGATTTGTTTATATTCCGTTCAGGTAGAATATAATCCTCTGCGGCTTCAACCACACTGCTCGACCCTTTGTTACGGCGTATCCATTGTGCTTGTGACACTGGCAATGCACTAAGAAAATATTCCTCTTTGAATTTTTCCAAGACATCCTCTACTGAGTCCACAAATCTAGTAAGATATTGTTCAATTCTTGCCATAAGTCCTCTGTATGTTTCCTTTGGTTCCCTTTGGGCTGTCTGTAATAGCTTGAAATATTGGTAGGGCCTTTTCCCGTACCTGTCCATTAGGGCTTTACAAAGTTCTTCAAATGACCCATGTGCTTGAATAGCTACCTCTCTGGCCTCACCTGTTAACAAGGTTCTCAGCTGTAGCATTTTTACTTCTTCTGTCCATCCAGCCTGTGTTGATAAAGCAGTAAACTCTGATAAGAATGTCACTATATCCTCACTTTCAGTATGATTATAAGGTTGAAGTTTCAGTCTAAACGGCACAGGGTTAGAATTTGTCTCACACCGTTCCTTTTGAAGTTTTGCTTTTTCAATCTCTAGTTCCAATTCTTTCACTTTCCTTTGATGTTCTCTTTCCTTTTCTTCGGCGTCCATTCTCATCTTTTCTCTTTCAACTTCCATCGTCATCCTTTCTCTTTCAAAATTCAT